GCGATTCGGGGAGGGGGGGGGTGCCTGACAGCGTCGTTGGCTTCGCAGCCGCGGTCTCGTCGACGTCGTCGTCCGCGGCGCGCCCTGATCGGGATTTGTTGGAGGGGCCTCGAAGCCGCCCAGACTTGTACCTCATCGGCCCTCCTCTCTTCGTTCCCGTGAGGACGATCGGCGGGGCCAACGCCCTCGCAGGTGCGGGGCGGGGGGGGCATGGCGTGCGGCAGGTTCGCGACGCGCCGACGCGGCAGCGGCCACGGCGCGGACGTTCAAGGTTTGAGCGACGCAAGTGGCTTGGAACCGGCCGATCTCAAACGACCTTGCTTGATAGGGAGGCCGCGGCCGTTCAAGGTTGTTGAATGATCCACGCAGCCTCATGGAAACTAATCTAGGGTAGATTGTATCTAAGGTGGATTCCATAAGCGTGCGAGTCAACACCACCCTGATTATCCCCTCCCTGCCCAACACTTTCCTCCCTTCCCTCTCCCTACCGTCTCCTCCTGCCCTCCCCGTCTCTCCCCTCTTCACCCTTTCCTCCCGCTCCTGCCCGCTCTCAACCCTCTCTCCCCTCTCCCTCGGGCCCGAGCCGTAGGCGCAGCCGTGTTCCCCCCTTCGGCAAACGAGCTTCCTCTCTGGCACGGGCCCAGCGCGACACGCACCATGTGCACGTGGCCCGCTGCCGCGGCAACCTCCGCTGCCGGGGCCCTGGCGGGATCTGGCGGCGGCGCCGCCGCCGCCTCTCCTGGATCCTCCGCGATTCGCGTCCGCTTGCTCCGCCCAGACGTCTCCATCCTGCTCCGCCTGTCCTGCCCGATGTGGATCGTCATGCTGCTGCTGCACCTGTACCTGCACCTAGTGATCAGTGTCCTTGCGACCGATTCCCCCACTCCCGCTTGGTGTTGTGGATGTTCACGAAGCAATGTTGGTGCCGCGTCCGCCAGGAACCTTCGGTTCTGTGGGATGCACAATCAAGGCCGCTAGCGTAGCTCCACCAATCACCTAGACGTGCCAACAGATGGAAGCGCCTGTCCTTTCAGACCGCAAGCATTGACAGCCCGCGTGTGAGACAGGAGTTGATCCTGTCAATCCCACACCTGCCCCCGTGGGTCGCCCCCCGTCGCTTCCACAAGTGCACCGCTCTCCCATGCAGAGCGGCGCCGTACTCTCTTAGCTTGTACTGACAGACTGGCAGTCCAGCTGGCGAGCGCTTCCTGAAGTCATGCGCAACTCCATCGGCGTCGTTCGGCCCCGCTCCTCCGTGCGCGCCCGATCGCGCTCCAGAGCCCCGCGTTTGCGATCGCGCTCTGCGGTCGCCCGCGATAGGCGCGGCCACTCCAAATCAACGGCTCAGGAGTTGTCTCCTTTTTACGAGCATCGTTTGCCATAGAGCCATTGCGCCAATTTGAGAAGGCGAGAACGCCAAGATTCCTCTCGCTTCGCGGGGTGCACGTCCGGAGCACGTACAGGCCAGTCTTTTTGGGGCTTGACTGGAGCCTCTGAGGGCATTTGGGGGGGACCGTATTGAGGGCCTTTGGGCTGTCTTGGTGCGATCTTGGGTGCCTTTGAGGCTCAACTGGGCGTCCTGTAGCTCGCACGCGCGAGGATTCCAAAATCCTTAAACATTTATGGGAAATCACTGATATTTGCCTCTTCAGGCCGTTGTAGGGGTTCTCTTGGAGCCCTCTTGGGGCGGCTCGGGGGGCCCTTAGACCGGTTTGAGACAGTTTTGGACCGTCTTGGGGCAGCCTCGGGCCGTGATTGTCCGGGAGCATTCTTGGGGAGCTCTTGGGTCGTCTTGGCGTTCTTTGGCCTCTGTAGATGCCATGCGGCGAGATTCGAAAACGCGCGGAGACGCTTGCGAATTCCCGACATCTGGAGAGTGGGACCTTTCAAAGAGTATATGCAGGCATGTGGCCGTTAAGAGCACATGCAGTACTCAACTCCGAGATTCGAAGGGACCCGAAAGCGTGGCGTCCGTTCTTTTGGCCTGCGTTGGTGCCGTGGTGGAGAGGGGCCGGTGCATTGGGGAGGGATGCACAAGGGATGCAGTCTGTTCTTGCATTTTCTGTTGATTCTGCATTTCGGTAGAATGCCCCCCGGGGGCACGTGTCGGGCCCCAGGATCTTCAGACATGAGCCCACGGAGCGAAGTCAATATCGAAGATTGGGTCGAGAGCCCCCAGGGACCTACAGGAGCGGAGATCGCCTCCAGTGCAGCGCCGGCGCTGTGTTTTATCACTCCGAACGAAACGAGTAATAGTGCCGTTCGGCCCGCTCCAAGAACGTGCTATCGTATACGAGTACGCAGGCGTCTGCATGGTTTCTCGAGGCCTCTTGGGGGGAGGCTTCTTGGAGGAGCCTCTTGGGAGCCTCCTGGGGGCCTCTTGGGAGCCTCTTGGAAGCCTCTTGGGGGCCTCTTGGGGCTTCTTCGGGGCCTCTTTGGGGCCTCTTGGGGCCTGTTGGGTACGTATTGGGCCGTCTGGGAGCGCTCGTACGCCGTCTGGCCCCTTCAGAGGCCATCTTGGAGGCATCTCGCCGTCGCCTTGGGGCTCTCTTGGGGTCCTCTTGGGCCGTTTTGAGGGCCTCTTGGGCCGTCTTGGGGGCCTCTTCTGGCCGTCTCGGACCCCTCTTGGGCCGTCTTTGGGAGCCTCTTGGGCCGTTTTAGGGCCTCTTGGAGGCTGCTTGGGCCGTCACGGCCCTCGGAAAGCTGAAAAAACGAGAACGGTCAGAAACCTCAGGAAATCATAGATTTTGGCTCTTGGGGCATTCTTGGGCCGTCTTGTGGGCCGCATGAGCCCCCTTGGGGCCATCTTTGGCCGTCCTGGAGCCGTCTTGGGCCGTGTGGGGGCCATCGTGAGGCCTTCGCGGAGTCCCAGGAGGCCCCGGAGGCCGATATCATAGATTGTTCAGGCGTTTTGGTACGTTCTTTCGCCCCAACGCACCGCCGACCCCTTGGGGCGGCAGCAAAGTGAAAGACGGAGTTCGCAGAACGCGCGCGATCGCTGGGCAATCTTGGCGTTTCGGCCTGTCTTACGTAGCGTGTGGGGTTCAAGGGGGGGCCTTGTAGGGGATTATTTTGAAGTTCTTCGTTGTCTTATGTGGGTTGCTTGGGGCCTTCACGGGGCCTGTCACAGGCCTCCCTTTCCACCCCTGGATAGGCTCGAGGATCGTTGAGACCCAGTCCGGGCCCCGCGGGGCCTGCTGACACCTTTGCCCCCCCCCTCCCAAACCGGCCAGACCGGGCTCCCGAGGGAGGGGGCTTGGGGAGGGGGAAGCATCTCACACGCCGTGACCCCAAGGGGTCGGCGGATTCATCCAATTACCAATTGGAAAATCAATGAGCTGCGCCTCTTGGGCCTATTTTGGGAGGCCTCTTGGGGCGTCTTGGAGGCCTCGTGGGCCATATGGAAGCCATCTTGGGTGTTTCGGACGGATCGCTCGACGACTTGGAGCCCTCTTGGGCCGTCTTGGGCGCCTCTTGGAGTTCATTTGGAGCGCTCTGGGGCGCCTGAAAGCCGCGCCCAGGAGGAAGACTTTAAGGGTAGCTCTTTGGGAGATGTTATAGAAGATCGGGAGTATAGCCTGCGCGCCGTTGCCTTTGGCTCAGGGCACGCGCGCCCTATTTGCCCGGACACTTACCTTTGTGTTCGCTATGTGCTGGAAAGATCACTACATCGATCTTATCCTATCCTATCCATCCACTCCCCATGGAATCGGATGTTATTTGACTCGCCAGAGTCATTTCAGACTTGGTAGCGGAGCTGGCCGCACTCTCGTGTGGGCAGCTCTTGCTCTTCTTATCCTCACGCTATCCGGCACGATCTTCGTGACCAACTACCACCCTGCGCCACCACTCCAACTACATTTACGAGGATCAATGCAAGAGCAAGAAGCAACACGAGAGGTACGACGTCTACACAACAACATTGGTACCATATACGCTTCATCACTACGCTATTACCAACCGCTCGGCAACGAGCCAAAAGCGCAGCACTTGAAGCAGACGCGGGGAGACCCGCAAGATAAAGCGCCCCGTAGACTTGACAAGGCGCTACAAGCCCTACCCCAGCGCGGCAACGCGCCTGAAAACCACCCATATATTCACAGCCTTGGGTCGGTTATCTTCGCCATCATACGGTTTGCGCTGGGGGCAGCAATCGGACACATGCGCCGAGGAGACAACAGCACAGATGGGCAAACACATGGCCCATACTGGGACCCTCAAGGCAACGTACCTTTCCACGAATACGTTTATGATGTCAACGCGCGGCTTAACGTCACAAGCGGACGCATGACGCCACAAGCCCAAGCAGCCGCCATACAACGCGGCCTGGGTGGCCTAGCGAGGACACTCGCCATGAGATTACCACCTGACATTATAAACTATGGCGCGGACATCGATGGTGTCCACGCCGACCCAGTAACCTACATCATGTTCCTCTTAAGCATGAAGTTCGAACGCCTGGAAGATAAGCGCCAGCTCACTCCAGGCACTCAGCTCCTAGACTTTCATGTGCCTCACGGAGAACGAATCGACGTAACCCTTACTCGGTTCGAGATGGCCCGTCTTGAGGCACAGCCGGTGGGTTTTGACCATCCCAATTTCCAACTGCTCACTACAATCCTGTCCCGCGCCCTAGGCGTTGGCAACCAGCGAGCCATGCAACTCTCACAGCCACTCAACCATCAAATGCCCCGAACACAACAACAGCATGACGAACTGTGTGAGAGGATGCGTTCGATTGGCCATTTGTCAGAACGGTCTCCTGGCAACATAGGATCAGCGTTTGGAAGGGGAAGGGGAGCTGGCAGTGGAAATTGCTATACTACCTTAACCACTGAAGCTCAGCCTGGCAACGGGCCCTCAAACATATGGGCCGACGATCCTGGAGAATCTACTGCCCTACTAGCAGGGGATCGATCACGACCAATCTGGGCAACCAGCCCTCCTCCTAGAGAACCTCAACCACACCGTTCCCCATGGGGCGAAGCGAATCCCCTAGA